GGGACCGACCTGCTGCACATTTTAGGAATACTTTGTCGCCCCATTGGCCCGTCGTCACGCGGCCCGTCAGGGACACGACCGGGATCGCCTGTGCGGCGTGCTGCGGGGCCGGCCGTGATTGTCCTCTCTCTGCCCCTTCCCCCCGAGGCACCCCGATGACTCCACGTTTCCGCCGCGCCCGCTGCTGCTGTCTCAGGGATTTGTCAAGCAGTCAAGCCCGGCCGAGACCCCCTCCTCCCCACCCCACTTCTCACTGCGCGTCGCGGAGGAGATACTCTTCGCCGCGCAATAATTTCCCGCGTCGGAAGTATGATGCAGTTTGGCGCCTGGTTTCCCAATTTTGCTGCGTGTAATTTGTCTCACTGCGCGGGAAAGTGTGCAGCGCCTGGAGTCACATCGCCATCGAAACGGGAACGGCAGTACTGCCCATCGCCCACGCGGTGGGCGCCTGTCTAGGTAGGCCATCCAGCGCGACATCAGCGTGCAACGGGACTGCCTATCGCGCAGGCGGTGGGCCGCCTGTCTAGGTAGGCCATCCAGCGCAAAATCAGCGTGCAACGGGATTGCCTATCGCCCAGGCGGTTAGTTCCTATTTGGATAGGTCGCCCAGCGCGACATCGGCATGCAACGGGACTGCATACTTCTAGGCGTGTCGCGGCAGTCCCCATACAGTCATCACTCGTTTTGGGTTATCAAACTGGAGCGTCAATCGGAAGTCCGCATCAGAACACGGTAAACTTTTAACCCCAAGTAGAGACAGCCACAAATTCATTCAACTTCAAAAAGGGTTATTACGGGGTTGTCCAAAAACGAAGCCGGTGGACCGTGTGCTATCAGCTACCCGTGGGACGAGAAGGGCGAGGAGGGGGGCTTAGTAGTCAGTCCGCCCGCGCTCGGGCTCCTGCTGGTTTTGTTGTTTGTGTATACGCTTTGCTTTCCAGTGTAGTGGGCAAGGTGGGGGGAGGGCGCGGGGCGGACACGGAAGCAAGCGTAGGAGGATGAGGATGCTACCTACCTACTCACTCACCCACCCACGCACACCGCACGCATCGAGCTACCTCGTACCCTTCTTACTGCCCTCGGGAAATACTGCCAACATTGCACGGGTGTTAAATTGTTTCAAACGGCAAGAAGCGGACGGTTCCAGCTGGCGCGTTTTAAAGATACCGTCCCGGTGCGCGGGAGAATTGCCTACTCACACGGGGCCAACGTCGGTAAACTTTGCCACATCAACAAAAAATGACTGGTGAATGCGCATCGGTGGCATTCGATAAACTTGAACCCAAGTTCATAAACTTTAACATTGTAATACACCTTTTGAATGCCATTTCCCTCTGCATGAGGAATCTTGAAATCGTTGAGCTTTGTTTCTTTATATTTTTACTGCGGGAAATTGGCGCCTGAGTTTTGCAGAGCCCCGCCGGGCCTGCCTCCTCGCACGGGTCGGTGTTGTTGTTTCGAGTGACTCAGGTTTTGTTTCCACATTCTCCCGCGACTGCTCGCTCGGCAGGAAGTGCAGACCGGGCCTGGTGCCGGCACGGGCAGCAGGCTCGGCTTGTGCAGTACAAGCTAGCCTGCAGCAGTTCGCGGCTCAGCCCAGAGTGCCCCCGCGAGCAAACAGCCGACGAAAGAAACCCGAAGGGAGAAGTTCTGTTGGTCTGACGCCTGACGCGCGCTATTTCTGACGGGCCCCCGGATGGATGGTCGATGCGGGAGGCTCGGGAGGATCTGCACACTGACTGCGCGCGTGGGTGAAGTACATAAATAGACGGGCTGCAGGGCGGGGGGCTGGAGCGAGCTCGGGGGGACAGAAGGAGAGACCGAATCCTCCTCCCTCACCCCCGTTGCGATCGGTGCCAGCACAGCGAGCCCCGCGCGTTGAGTTCGCCGCGGACGACTCCCTCGCTCCCGTTTCGCAGCCGGTCTTTGTTGCCCTGCTCCCCCTCGCTCCCGCCGCCGCGCCGCTGTGGCCGCCGCACTACCAAGAAAGGCGTCATCCCGCCGTCGCCGCTGCTTCCGTGTGGCGTCGTCGCCGAGCGTCGCGTTGGTCGGCGCCGGCACTCCTCCGCCCCGCCTGCCCC